CATACTGGAGAGAGACCTTTTGTGTGCAAAGAATGTGGAAAGGCCTTTAACCAACACTCAAAGCTTACTGAACATCACAGAATTCATACTGGAGAGAGACCTTTCGTATGCAAAGATTGTGGAAAGGCCTTTAACCGGCACTCACACCTGACTCGGCATTACAGAATTCATACTGGAGAGAGACCTTACATATGTAAGGAATGTGGCCATGCTTTTATCCAGCACTCACACCTGCGTCAACATCACAGAACTCATACTTGAGGTCAGAAACCTTACCCAAGTAAAGAATATGGGAAGGCCTTTCATCACTGTTCAACTTTTACTCATTACGACGGAATTCACAGTGGAGCCAACATTACAAATGTAAAGAACGTGAGAAAACGTTTAAGGACGACTCACCCCTTACTCCACATCAGAGAATTCATATTGGAGAGGAACCGTGAAATTGTTAAGAATGTGGCAAGGCCTTTATGCAATGTTAAACCCCGATTCCTCATCAGAGAATGTATGCTGGAGTGGATTTTGCAAATATAAAGAATTTGCCATGGTCTTTAATAAGAGGTCAAGCAGCATTCAACATCTCAGAATTCACACTGAGGAAAAAGTTATAAATGTAAAGAACATGGGCAAACTTAAGCTGCTCAACCCTTTTCCGTATCTCAGAGTTTATACTGAGGAGAAAGATTACAATACAAGGGGTGTGTCAAGCCTCTAGCCAGAACTCACAGCCTACTCAGTTATCGTACAGGATAGAAACTGTGAAATGCAAAGTTGCAGTGCCTTTAACTGGAATTCAATCTAAACTCTGTGTCCCCAAATGCATCCTATGAAAACCTAGAAACATCATGACTGAGGAAAGACCTTCATTTTAAATATTCACTGTAGCAAACACCAGAGAGTGCATACACGAAAGTAACTTGAAAGATGTAAATATTTAGAAATGTATGTAAGTGAACATCAAATGTCAATAAATATCACAGAAATCGAGTAGAAAGCAGTACATGAGTCAATCTATTCAGACGTTACATCAAAATATTCCTTATAAGGAATAATACGAAGTCAAACACTTAGTGTATATGCTATTATACTTCAAAAGAACAAGTGGATGGATTTTTACATGAGTACAATTAATTTCTGTATGTGCTTTTTTTTTTTCATTGATCCTATCTGGGATTTGTGACTAGCAAATATTAATGTATTTGTCTCAGATAAGTTCAGAAAATTCATTTATTCCTAGTGGGTGTGTGGAAGTATGTGGTTGATTGTTGCTATGTCAGAGGTACGAGACACCCTTCTTCATTTGTTTGGACTCGATATCTAATTGTCCATGGAAGAAGGATGATGTAATAATATATGAAGAAAACTTAAATGCAGATGCTATTTACAGTTATAACATTAATGTCAGTTATCATGAAAGAGGTGTTCAGAACAACATTCTTCTCCATTTATTAAACTAAAGAACCCCTGTATGGTATAAATAAAACATTTTACCATCTGGTCTCTGAGGAAAAAGAGGTGGCAGTCCAGTAAAATGTATCCTCATAATAGCTGTAGTTACAAGTGGAGAATGTCCAGGGATGCGGTTGAGATGAAATTCTCACAGATACCAGAAGAGGATAGTTAATTCTTCCCTAAAATGGTATATAATTATATATACACATTTTTTAAGAATGACTTCATGCCTGAAAATTATGGAAATCACTAATTCCACACCATTATATCCGCAGACCTTTGCTTTTTAACACTTGTATTCTGCATTTTGCATAAGGATCATAGAGTGCATTTGAAATTCATAAATTAGTTCATGTGTGAGCTTAACATATTTTAATTAATAAAATATAATTGATGTTTAATATATTACCATGGATGAGTAATGAATGACTTGTTATCCCACCACCGATGTTAACCTATCTAAAGGTTTAGGTAACTGGTGGAATCTGGCACATATTTGGTAAGAGTGAAATAATATACATAGTCCTCCATTCCTTCATTGGCCTTAATGTTTAAGTACTGTGTGATTATTTTTCCCTAGTTTATCTAGTATCATTTTCCCCTCTTAGGGACTAGTTGGATATTATTGTGGACATGTTGCAGATTACATGGGGGTCTTCCTATCTGATTAGCTCAAATACTCCATAATAATGCTACTTGGGGTACATTTTGTGTAGCCAGTGCTTTTGCAGGGGCCTTGAGCTGACACCAGCCCCTCTTGCTAGTGCATTCCCTAGACAACACTCTGCAGAGTCACAGGTTCCTGTAACTTCTGTTCACATCTCCAGTCCACCCTTGTGAGGCAACATGTGCCTGGAGTACCATGACTTTATCTCATGTGTCCATGAGAGGAGACTCCCACGGAGCTTACCTAACCCTATTTTATGAGACTGACGCGCTGCCTACTGTGCTAAGAAGGCACTGCCTAACCCTGTTTTAGTTCGAATGCCCCAATCTGGACTTAGTCCTGGGACATTAAAGCACAGCACCATGGCCCCAAATAAAGGTATGTGCACCACCTTGTGTGTAAGGGTGTTGTTCTGACTTTTCTATGAAGTAAGCATGCACTCATACCAATGCTTGGTGTGTGATAGGTGCCCTAGAAGTAGGAGAAACCTGTTCCAGTAGGACTGATATGTAGCCTCAAGGAAGAGGTAGGAAATACAGAGGATGAGGAACTGGCATGAAATCTGCATGTGGAGAGAGGACACCTTTCCTGGGTTGCACAACTGACCCCCTGCCTTTAGAGAAACAACTTCTCCTTCTTTCCTAGTGATCTCCAGATCTGCAGTTCCATTTATCCTCATTTCCCTTTCCAGCTGTTCAGGCATCACAGACATTCTTTGCTTGTGCTGTAGCTAGTTTCCTCGGTAAACACTGAATGGAGACTTGAGAAATGTAAGGCCAGTGAATGTTCAGACGTTGAACCCCGGGATGTAAAACACAGGGAAGCCACCACCATCCTTAGAAAGATAAGATCTATTGAAAGAAAATGTGAGGGGCACCTGGGTGGCATAGTGGGTTAAGCATCTGCCTTTCAACTCAGGTCATGATCTCGGGGTCCTGGGATGGAACCCCTTGTTGGTCTCCCTGCTCAGTGGGGAGCCTGCTTCTCCCTCATTTTTGGCCCGTCTCCCCCCACCTTATGCAGTCTCTCTCTCCCTCTCTTTCTCTCTCTCTCTCTGAAACAAATAAATAAAATCTTAAGAAAAAAAAAGTGTGAAGAACTCTTTAAAGTGTGGGGAGAACACCAGACAGAGGTGGCCTCCTCCAGGCTCTCCTGAGGCACAGGCAGCTTTGGGTTGGGTCATCTAATGAATGAATACATGCAGTGCGGGGAAGAAACTGGCAAGTGTGAGTTTCTGAAGAGCAGGAACTCCTGCTTTGTTTTCATGATTTAATTGAATTCCCCTGCGTTCCTGAGGACCAGATTCTTCTGGATGATCGTGATGACTGTGTTTGCCCACTTCTAGATCAGTGGTAACTGGTGGAGGAAAGGTATTCGATGACGCAATCATTTGGGAGTAGCTTTGAAATGTCACATGGTAGGGACGCCTGGGTGGCTCAGTGGGTTCAGCATCTGCCTTCCGCTCAGGTCATGATACCAGGCTGCTGGGATCAAATCCCACATTGAGCTCCTTTCTCAGCAGGGAGCCTGCTTCTCCCTCTCCCTCTGCCTGCAGCTCCCCCTGCTTGTGCTCTCTCTCTCTCTGATAAATGAATTAATTAAAGCTCTTTTAAATCAAATCCCATGGTAAAATAGATGTTGGAGATGAAGACTTTGGGACGGCGGCATAGGCAGGATCAGCAAGGCATGTTCTGTGGTTGCACCCAAGCACTAGTATACCAGGTCCATGACCCCAGCCACGTTTAGAACCATTGTTGATGGTGACATTTCATGAAGGTTCATGCACTACTGTGTGGAAGCTTCCACCCTTCGGTCAGCCCCATGCCGGGTACAGTCCCTTTCTCTGGCTCTGTCTGTGCCATGGACTTGTTGGAGGGGTGGTTCAACAGTCCATGCCAGTGGCCATTTCTGTTCAGACATTCAGGCCCGAGCGTTCATTGACTGATAAATGAATAAAGACTCTGTGTGCATGTTTGTGTGTGTGTGTGTGTGTGTGTGTGTGTGTGTGTGTGTGTTGGGGGAGGGGGGTAATGGAATATTCCACCATAAAAAGGAATTTAATCTTGCCATTTGCAATGACATGGATGGAGCTAGAGAGTATTCTAAGGGAAAGATGTTAAAGAGAAATAAATTTTCAATCGTATGTAGTATATAAGAAACAAACAAGAAGACAGGCAAATCACGAAATAGCCTAAGTATAGAGAAGAAACTGATAGTTGCCAGAGTGGAGGTCGGTTGAGGGATGGGTTAAATAAATGAAGGGAATTAAGGAGTGCATTTGTGTTGAACAATGGGTATTGCATGGAATTATTGTCACTGTTGTACCCCTGGAATTACAGTGTATATTAACTAAATGGAATTGAAAAAAAAATCCTTTTAAAAGTATTGTTTTTTACAGATTTAAGAAAAGTTTTCCCTTTTTTTTTTAAGATTTTATTTATTCATTTGAGAGAAAGAGAAAGCATAAGCAGGGGAGGGGGAGAGAGAGAAGCAGACACTCCACTGAGCAGAGAGCCAGATGTGGGGCTCAGTCGCAGGACCCCAAGATATGACCTGAGCCGAAGGCAGATGCTCAACCATCTGAGCCACTCAGGTGCCCCGAGAAAACTCTCTTAAGTTAACTGACATGTAGCAGGGCATAAAATATACCTCTGTAAGCCAATTGAAACATTTTGTCTTTTCTCTCTACCCGATTATTCCAGAATCCAGAAAGTTGGAGTAACTATTATATTTTAGCCAAAATATCTGTTTGCAATGTCAATTTCAGTAAGAATCTGTTCTCATTGGGAGGAGACAACAATAGAAAACACTGGTTATGGGGTGCCAGGGTGGCTCAGTGGGTTAAGCATCTGTCTTTGGCTCAGGTCATGGTCCCAGGGTCCTGGGATTGAGCCCTGCATTGGGCTCTCTGCTTGGCAGGAGGCCTGCTTCTCCCTCTCCCACTCTCCAGCTTGTGTTCCCTCTCTTGCTGTGTCTCTCTGTCAAATAAATAAAATCTTAAAAAAAAAAAAAGAAAAGGAAAACACTGGTTATATAACCAAGCCTTTGATTAGAATGTCCTAGCTGAGAAAGATCTGCATAGACTCAGATATGATGACAGCTGTAACGGACTAGGATTGACTTTATGGAGCCAATGAAGCCCCCTTGGAAATATCAACCTGACACCTTGTTTACTGAGTACCCAGCACCTTACCAGGAGAGCAAAGAAGGTAATTTCCTAAGAGGTGCAGGAACCTAGGGATAGTTATGGGTCTTCATGAAGAGACAATTTACCCAGATCTGTTGTTAGTATAAACAAAGTCTTGTGGCAAGTTCATGGCATGGCTCCTGGTGTGGAGACGCTATTGAAGGTTCAATCCTATGATTACTTATGAAAATTTCCAGAAAAGCTATTTTTAAAGATTTGATAGGTCAAACTCTATTCTTCCTACATTTATGTAAATAATCAGGATAAGATTCTAGGTTTTGTTTTTTTGTTTGTTTGTTTTAAGATTTTATTTATTTGAGAGAGCTAAAGAGAGAGAGAGAGAGAGAGCCCGAGTGCAGGAGAGTGGTGAGAGACAGAGGGAGAAGAGGCTTTCTGTCCTACAGGGAGCCTGATGCAGGGCTCTATCCCAGAACTATGATATCATAACCTGAGCCAAAAGCAACCACTTAACCCACTGAGCCATGCAGGCACCCCCCAGGACAAGTTTGTTTCTTAGACTTCTTTTGCAAACAAATCATTGTTAGTTTGGCTACCTTCAGTAAAAATGGAGATGATTATAGAGAAAAATATGTCTCAGTAACACACGTTTGTAGTTACAAGTTTTTAATACTATTAATCATCAAATGGACAACGTCCTGATTTCCTGTAGAGTCTTCTAATGCCAGGCTTTGAGTCCCCAAACTAACGTGATTTTTTAAAAGATTTATTTATTTGAGAGAGATAGAGAGCACGCGGGGTGAGGGACAGGGAGAGTGAGAATCCCAAGAAGACTCCATAATGACCATGGAGCCCAATGTGTGGCTCCATCTCACAACCCTGAGATCATGATCTGAGCTGAAACCAAGAGCCAGGTGCTTAATGGACAGCACCACCCAGGCGCCCTGGACATTTTTAATATTTCTCCCACCTTTCTGACTTGTAATCATTTGAGAACTAAAATAGCCTTTTCCCCTATAGCTCTGCAAATGTAATATAAATATCTTGATGTACAGAAATCATGGTAGTAGGTCACGTATAGACAGTCCTCATGTTGTGGCTCTATGGTCTGCTGAAAGTATTACCAGATGTACTTGAAAAATAAACAAGGAACATCTGTCAGGTTGCCCCTACTTACCCTCGCTCTACCCCAAGATGCTTCAAGTATATCATCTAGAAGTCTGTTCAGCTGGCTACCCTTAGAAATCAGAATCTGGGGGCGCCTGGGTGGCTCATTGGGTTAAGCCTCTGCCTTCGGCTCAGGTCATGATCTCAGGGTCCTGGGATCGAGCCCCACATCGGGTTCTCTGCTCAGTGGGGAGCCTAGTCTGCTTCCTCCTCTCTCTCTCTGCCTGCTTCTCTGCTTACTTGTGATCTCTCTCTGTCAAATAAATAAATAAAATCTTAAAAAAAAAAAAGAAAAGAAATCAGAATCTGGCAGGACGCCTGGGTGGCTCGGTTGGCTAAGTGTCTGCCTTCAGCTCAGGTCATGATCCCGAGGTCCTGGGATGGAGCCCCATCTGGCACTGGGCATCCTGCTCAGCAG